GGTAATTGACAACGAGAGAAACACAGGAAGATATTGATTATGTTAATAATGGCTTAATTTGCATAACTAATGAGAAAATTTTATAATTATGTAATGATAACTGCCTGGAATTTCATACTTGTGGTATTTGAAAGTTAAATTGAGGTGAATATCATTAAACATAATTTATTCAAATCAGGACCTCATTTGCATAATTTATTAGGAAATGCTAGAATGCATTGTTTGTTAATATAAGACTGTCTTTTGGTTGAGATTATGATAAAATGATATAATTCATGAAAATTAGGTTCCTATTTCTTAAATCAGGGGGGAATAATCTAATCTATAATTTGTCAGTCATAAAGATTAACATCATTTGGCGAAGGTATGAGATCGGGGAACTCTAGTTATTCATATGCATTACACTGTTTCCACAAAACGTGTTTTCGACGTCAAAAAACATACTAGTAGTTACAGTATATACTTGTCATCAGTTTCTGGCCTCCTTGGTACTGCAGCGATAGATTTCAATCATTTTGGGAATGTAAATTATTTGAAATGTAAATTATGCAAAAAAAGGACTCAATGTGCATAATCAATGTGGAAATTCATGATTCCTATCACGTAGAATCCATAAGGGCACAGCAAGTAATTTTTATGGATGACATCAGCGCGCGCATTGATTTTCGCCCGATTTCGGAAAAAAAGACATTTTGTTGCCCTCTGACAGTGGTCAATATGTCGAAAATGGGAAAAATGGCATGTTTTGCCATACCGGAACGTGGATAGCAGATAGATATGAAGAGAGGAGGCAAGACAGGGTTCTTATTCATTGTTTTGTCTTTTACATTGATGCAGTGATGTATTTCATTCCTTTTACATTTTCCCCACTGAATTGAAACCATTTGTACAATGATTTAAAACTTTTAGTTTTCAAAACTTTTTTCAGTGACAAATGGATGTTGTAAAAGTTGGCAGTAAACAGCACATTATAGGTATTATTTCTTGTTTAACAAGGCTGATGAAGTCGAAATTTGAAAATGTAGGAATCTTCTTTTTTGGCCCGCCTTGTTTTTTTTTCGCCCTATCGCATTAGATTTGGAGTCTGCGGAGGATGTCATTCATAAAATTTACTTGCTGTGGCCTAACTCACGGATAGCCTGCCAATTGAAGCACCATTTTTCTGCCTGAAATGAGCTACTTGGGCGGATCTTACGAAGCAACAGTGAGGGTTTTCTATACACAAGTTTCCATGACCTCACAGTTGCTCTATGCCATGAGTGCTAATCACGTTGCCCCTTCTAGAAACCCAACTCTTGTTAAAATCATACATCAGTCTGGACTTAAATGCATTCCCGTAGGCGTTAGGCTCCTCGGGGGTTGAAAATTAAACCTTTCCTGCATTTTTGAGAGGATTTCAAAAGAAAAATCAGGATAGGATTCAAGTCCGGCTGTTTTTTTTTCAATATGGCGGCGAGTGCGTAAGTCGTGTGTGTGTGCGGCTCCGCTGCATTTTGTTTGCTTCTACTTTTTTCGGCCTCTTCCTTGTGGTCAAGTCTTGAAATTTTCTGGTGGAAGGTGTACTCTTTCCTTGGGCTCTTCATAGATGTCGAGAAAACGCGACAAGAGGCTCAGAAACGTCAGCAACGAACAAATACCTGGCGACAAAAGGAAGAGTCCTCCGACCAAGAAAGGAAAGATGGCGCATGGTGGTCTGGACCTTGGGAACCTTCCTACCGACCTACAGCCCTTGGTACAGCTGCTTCTGGACCAGACAAAGGCGCAGCATGAAGCTGTCATGGCTGAGTTTAAAACTGTGGGAGGACAGTTGTCTCAACAAATCCAGGCCCTTGATTCAAAGTTGATGGACATTGCAGGTGAGGTTTCCTCTCTGCGTACTAAGGTCAATGACCTCGAAACATCAGCTAACTATCATGCAAATGAGCTACAGGAGCTTCAGCAATCCCTTCAACGCGAGAAAAAAGAGCGGATTCGAGCTACTCTTGTGGCTGAACGCTACTCCATGAAACCCGACATCATTGTCAGGGGACTTGAATGGAAGCAAGACGAAAAAGCGCAACAGGTCTTTCTCGACTTTATGTCAAACCATCTGAATATGCATGAGGCCATACCTACCGCGGCTGTCCATCGTCTTGCTAAACCAACCAAGGCCAAACCCAACCCGCCCATGCTCGTACGTCTGGTTAACCTTCACCAACGAGAGTCTATTCTGACCGCTTGGAGGAACCTAAGCACTGACCAACGGATCGGTTACGCCGTCCACGAACACCTACCTCGTCCGCTCCAAGCAGCCCGTAATGAGCTCGTTCCTGATCGCGAGAGGATTTTGAAGGAGGCTAGAGACAACCGAAAGGACGTTAAGGTATCGATACGCGTGCCACAGAAGGATACCTGTGCAGTTCTGATCGTGAACGGTAAGCTGATGAAAACAATAGATGCTGTGGACTTGGCAATGGGTGACAGCACAACGATCAAGCATGTTGACTGAAGTACAAATTTCTGTGGCGGCTTTGACTTGACTTTTTTTGACTTTGACTTTGTCTTTGTTGGACTTGGTCCATGTTGAATGCATGTAGAAACAATACTGATCTTTGGTTACTTTCACTGCGCCGCACGATTGTGTTTATTTTGGTCTGGCGATGATCGAACTTGATATTGATGACCATCGCCTAGTATGCTTGCTACACCGATGTCATCAGTTGAAAAGTTTATGTTGTAATTGTTCGTGTGTATTTCTGTCATTTGTAATCAAACTCATTTATTATGTATGTGCGCTTGACCTCTTACTCCATTCTTTAAACTATACTGTAGAGAAGGTTTTGCTATTTGAATTTGATCATGATGACTAATCCCATGTATATCTCTGACCTGAATGATTTAGGCTCTTTCAAAGGTTTATCCTTTATGCATTCTAATGTCAATAGCATTGTTGCTGGTACCAAGCTTGATGAGATTTCTTCCTTAATATCTGATTTTCATTTGGATATAATTGCTGTCACTGAGACATGGCTGGGAGACTCTATTGATTCGGAGGAAATCTCATTAGCTGGTTTTCAGCCGCCTTTTCGTCGTGATCGCAATCGCCACGGCGGAGGGGTACTTGTGTATGTATCAGATTCGATATCATGTATCAGACGCTCCGATTTGGAGCCCAGTTCTTTTGAATCTATCTGGCTTGAACTTCATATTAACCAATTCAAAATTTTGTTTTCTGTCTATTACCGGCCACCCGGACAAAATGTTTGCATAATTAATGAATTTGTGGACTGTTTCATTGACTCTGTCATCAGGGCGCATTCCTCGCGCCCCGATGCCATTGTCATAACTGGAGATTTCAATGCAAAACATAAAGAGTGGTGGCACCTGGATCCTATTAATCATGCCGGTGCAAAAATGTACCAAGCTCAGCTGTTATTGAATCTTTATCAGACCATCATAGAACCTACCTGTGATCTTTCACAGTCCCCCTCTCTACTTGATTTAATATTTACTGACAGCCCTTTGTTTTTCAAGTTTTGTCTCCTTTATCCGGTTGCCATCATACTCCTATTATAGGCAATATGAAGCTCTTTTTTACTGTCCCTAAACCTTATATACGTACTATCTGGGACTATAAAAACCTTGATTATGATTCTCTCTTAACTTTTGTATCTGATCCCAGCTGGTCTGATGTGTATAGGTGCGGAACAGTAAATGAGGCATGCAATAAACTAGTTGAACTCATTTTAGAGGCAAAATCTCGGTGCGTTCCTCACAGAAATATCACTATCAAATCTAAAGGAAAACCGTGGATGACTTATAGTCTTAAGAGACTTATGCGGCTACGCGATAAATCACATAGAACTGCCAAGCTGACCAATCTTGATGTTCACTGGGAAGCATATCGTAAAATACGAAACAAATTATGTAATTCAATTACCAAAGCCAAGGCTTATTATGAAGCTCGTCTTGCTTCTTCTCTTTCGGATCCCTCAACAATACTACTGTATACAACCTAAGAAACAAATTAAACTTTAGACTCAGTAGGCCTTTTACTAATAGACATTGTAAATCCTTTATCCCGTACTGTTTAAATTATTGGAATGATCTTGACTTTGATATTCGCTACTTACGTTATGTACCTTTGGTACACCTGCGCCCTTCTTACCCGGTTACGCATCGGTACCTGCAATCTTAACTATAGTCTTTTTAATCGTGCTTTGATTCTTAGCCCTTCATGTATTTGTGGGTATCCCTGCGAATCCATTTCTCATTTTATATTACACTGCCCTTTGTTTACTCAGTTAAGAGCTGATTTTCTTAACAATCTCTCTGATTTAATCGGTCATTTGATTGATTTAGATGCCCTTTCAGAAAGTGCCAGGCTCCATCTTGTACTCAGGGGATCGTTTGCGATACCTTCTGAGTACAATGAAAAAATTATGTTACTTACTCAAGATTTTATAAGCGGCACTAAACGTTTTTTTGTTACATAGTATACTCTGTTTTGTTTGATCATATAACACTTCTCTTTAGATATATTACTGTATGTATGGTGTCTAGTTTCTCAGCGCACTACTTGTATGACCATTGTATTTATGTTAAATGTTAAGTGGGGCTGTAAAATAAGTTGTATAACTTGAGTTCAGCCCCACTTCGTCCTTGTCTTGTATTGTTTCATTCAATAAAAAAAAAAAAAAGTCCGGCTGGTGATACAAATCAGTCCACCGTTTAAAATTCTTGGACCTTTAGGATCCTTTAGATAAAGAGTGGACCCTTAGATAAAAAGTGAGCGTGCACATGTGTGGGCCCTGGCTACGGACATGTAGTAGTAGAATGGTTTATTTCAATTTGAAACTCAAGACATACACAATTTGCACTGACGACAGACTCGCAGGCAACCATACTGGATGCCTGAATTGCTCTGTGGTCACACAAAATATCATTGAAATATGGGTATTATTGTTAAAACATTATTGCACATTATTACACATTGTTAAAATTTATATAATCATAAAATAGTCCTCTGCTTTAGTAAATGGTTTGACAGTCAATATGCATATTATATGTCAAAACGTTACATTATGCAGTAAAAACAGTTCGGTGAGGTGATGTACATGAAACAACATTAGCAACAGATCACTTTTACATTGCCGTTTCAAAGTTATTCAGTAATTTAACAATGTATGGTAACATGCGCTGTTTCTAAAGCGTTCAGTTCTTGTTCTTAAGCAGTATATCTGGTTACTGGACCGTGTTGTACGTCCACTGATGTCCCCACGGCGGGGAGGAAACCAATGCCGGTAGTCGGGAGATTGTAAGAGTTTTCTGGCAAAAGTCAAGCAGAGGTGGTCTCGCATGAAACGGAAGTCAGAGATCACAGGCGTCGTTCTGTTGGAACATGGGAAACACGTTGACGAACAGGAAGGTGACGATGGCGCCGACACAGGAGCCGGCCTGCATGACGGCTCCACAGTACAGCAGCGCCCTCTGTCCCTCCTCGCGGAAAATGGACCCGATCGTCACCTTCACGTAGGAGAAAAGTCCCACTACTGAGATCCATGCAAGAATCTGGGCGGGAAAAATAAAGGCAAAGTCCCATTAGCAGCGTAGATAGTGTCAGTGAAATAATTAAATACTACGTAAAAGAAAACTTGCCTTGTTTTGATAAACTCTAGTCTATCTACATGTAGATAACATATAACCTTCTCCTGACAGTGCCAGTTGAATTTGTTACATCCGTCGTCATATGAAATCCAATAGATATAATTTCAAACTTACCACCAAGACCACTCCTCCGTCCGTCCCCAGTAGTACAGGGGTGGGGCTCATGGCCGCGAGTACCAGGATGTACGCCCCCACGGCTGTTCCCGCTAGCGACAGCACCCCCACCAGTAGGAAGGACGTGGTGGGGAGGAAGAAGGAGATGAAACAGGCCAGCGGATTGGCCATGTTGGCCAGGGTCACAGCCAGGTGGTAGGCGGTGTTTCCGTACGGGAGGCAGGAGTAGGATTGGATGGAGGGGAGGACGCCGTTACTGAGGGCGTTCACCCAGGCTTCGACGCACAGCAAGTACACGTAACCTCCCCGCGACAGCCCTTTCCTCTCGGCTACCAGATAATCCTTGCCACGGCCATCAGCAACCGGGTTGTTGACTTCTACCGTCTTTCGACACGAGACGACATCGCTTTCATTAGCAGTAGAGGTCTCAACGGAACCTTTCGTTTCCACGGACTCCATCTCTAAACCGGGGTTGGAGCAGCCGTCGGTTGGTGGTGATTCTGCTGACCTAATTATAGCCGCGTCGACCTGCTCTTTCTTAGCCAATGGGAGATGGTTTAACAGGAGGAAGGCGATTCCGCACGCCAGCATCATGGCGAAGAGGAACCAGAAGAAATTCTCGACTGGGAAGTTGGGGTCCTTGGTGACGTACACGTTGGTGTATTCTGTGATGTTCGTCAGAACTCCGTCGACGACCGTGGAGTTGACGAATGAGACGTTCTGACAATCAGGGTTCCCGCCGACGCCTTGCCCCAGCGCGACCAAGCTCGGAACCAGGCCGCTCATCCCCTCGCCGATGAAGTAAGGGTTTAGATAGGGGGAGGTGAAGACCGCCATGAAGGGCATGAAGGCGACAGAGGAGGTACAGCCCCCCACTCCGAGTAAGAACGCAAGAAGCAGTAATGCGACGCTGCGGTTCGCGCCTGCTATGTAGATGGTATACTTCCAGAAAAATGGCAGCAGCGCGCACGACACGATTCCGATCGACACAATAGTGTAGACCACCGCTTTCACGCTGACTCTCCCGGGTGCCAATACGCTCGCTAGCGTGAACGCGATTGGTCCGACGTTAGCCATGGCGATGATGACTGACAGGTAAGACGGCAGGCTCCACCCCTCCGGGGCGTGCTGCACGATGATTGGCAGCTCCACCCACAAACCATTGAAGGCGATCCAGGAGCCGCAGCCGAAGAGTATGGCGAGAAAGTAGACGAAGGGGTTTACTTGTAATTTCTTCATGGTGTCACACCGTACAGCACAGTGGATTTGGACCTGAAAAGAGTAAAAAAAAAGTCCCAAATTACACATTGTATATATGCCAAAGGTGTTAACTATTGGTTTATATCTGAGGCACATCCACACAAAATTTCAGATCATTTGGGTATAATACTTAGCCTGGGTGCCGACCTTATAGAGCGGGCAAATACTACTGGGGATGGCACCCAGGCTATATGATACTAGTACCAGGTGACCGTTTTCTCAATAGGTGGCGCTGAAGTCTCAACACTCTTGGATACTCACCTTGGCCTAGTCTGGCAGCTTCACCATCATCAGTCAGTTTTATTGTTTTACAACAAGTTTTATTGTTTTTACCTTCGCCAAGAAGGTTATGTTTTCAGTAGCGTTTGTATGTGTGTTTGTGTGTGTGTGTGTGTGGTTTAGCAAAATAACTCGAGAAGCAATGGATGGATTGGAATGAAACTTGGTAGGTGGGTAGATCTTCATGAGACCTAGAAAAGATTAGATTTTGGGCCCCCTGGCAGCTTTCCTAGGTACTGCAGCAGAACTTCCTGTTTTGATATCTCGTGATCTGCACATGCTAGGGTCACGAAGTTTGAATGGCAGATAGCTCTTGGGATATGGAAGAAGTGACATGAGTTTGGGTTCCCTAGCGGCTTGTTCTGGAACTGCAGGAGCATTTGTTGAAAAAGTTTCGAAGGCGGATAACTCAAGAACCGATTGACGGATTGTCGTGAGTTTTGGTATGTAGATAGTTGAAGTGATGCTTGACATAATCATATGACAATTATGCAAAGAAGGAGCTAATTTGCATAATTAATGAGGAAATTCTATAAATCTGCTTTGTTCGATAATAGAACTATGAAACACCTGTGACATCTACTTGAGAACAAGAAAAACATCTGAGGATATAGATTATGTAAATGAGGACCTAATTTGCATAATTAATTTTTTTATAATTTCATAATTGTAACTGCTGGGAATTTCATACTTGCCACATTTGGAAGTTAAATGAAGGTGGACATCGATAAACATAATTTATTCAAATCATGACCTCATCTGCATAATTTATGAGGAAGTGCTACAATAGCCTTTTTTGTTAAGATAAGGCTGTCATTGGGTGGAGAATAGGATCAACTGACATGATCTATGCAAATGAGGCTCTTATTTACAAAATCAACCGCAAGGTTTAACATCATTTGGCGAAGGTATGAGATCGTGGAACTCTTGTTTTTTATTGTTTTACAATATTAAACATTGATAAGTCCTAAATACAATCACCGGACTTGACTTTTTGTTGACATTGTCAAGTACTTTACTCATATATAAATTATCATACTTTTCGTGCAGTGGCATCTAGCACCGAGGGGGGCGTTTACGTTTGTTCTACACTTAAACTTCGCTCCGTCATTGTGCAAAGTCTCGCTGCAGGCAGCTTTACAACCTTGCAATTGTTTGAGAGTGATTGAGGAGGATTTAGCTGGTCAGCACTAAGAGAAAAATGCAGTGGCAAACTGTCTCCACTGGCACTATTTGGCCAATTTCTACTAAGTTTCCATGTTGCCCTCCTAAGGCCACAGCAAGTAGATTTAATGGATGATATCCTCCGCAGACTCCAAATCTAATGCGAGCGGGTGAAAAAAAACAAGGTGGGCCGAAAAAAACAAGCTAGGTTCCTACATTTTAAAATTTTGACTCAATCATTGTACAAATGGTTTTGATTCAGTGGGAACATCACATATACACAGCATCACATATCACTGCATCAAAGTAAGAAACAAACATTAGATCAGAGGCTTTTCTTGTTTCCTCTCTTCATAGTTACCTGCCATCCACCTTCCGGCATGGCAACAGATACCTTTGCCTATTTTAGGCATGTTGACCACTGTGAGAAGGCAACAAAATTTCTTGTTTTTTTTTTCCAAAATCAGGCAAAATTAATTATAATGCGCCCGCTGATGTCATCCATAAAAATTACTTGCTGTGGCCTAATTGGTAGAGGCTAGTTCTAAGCTATCAGAGTGAGAAGACGGAAGATGTCGACGATATATTGACGTGGCAGAATGCAGCATGACACACAAGTGTTGGAGGATCGTGATGTATTCCCTTGACTGTGCTTCACAATGGAATAAATACTTTAACACGTCATCTGTCGTGCCCAAACCATAGGATGGAACCTTGGCTACATCTTCTTTCGGAGAGATATAGCTGTGTAATAATGAGTATTTGAGAGTTGACTTTAGATGAAAGTAAAGGTGATCCATTAAGTAGCAGATACACAATAGCACTATCGGATAGATTGTTAATATCTAAGAATGGGATGTTTAATTGTACTGGCTACATCTTCGGTTGGTAGGATCAAGGACATTGGTACGATTGGATGAAAATCAGTTTAACCATGGAGGTAAAAGATTTTTTTTACCTCCATGGTTTAAGAAGTCAACTCACACTTCCGTAAGTTATTGGCTATCATTTTACTACTTACCTGCAGGATTCGCTAACCGATGCCTGGGCCTGATCATACACGTCGTATACGATTGTCGCACGATTGCAAACGGAGGGCTGTCTTGTATATGTCGTAGGACATATGTCTCACCCAAACGGCCCTATCTTGCTCCTTGTCGGTAGTTGGTTGTGTCACAGCCTGCTTGAAAATCTTACGAAATCAGACTCATGTACACGCTGACGAATGTGAACGGGTAGACTGCATATGTAAGACTGATATGTAATGTATTTACGTAAGCGTTTTGTTTGCTATTTGTTAATGTTTAACGTGACCCGGTTGAGGTGTTGTAATAGATTGCTCGAGGCATCGTACGATGTAAACCGAGTTTATGACGTTAGGCCATGTTGATCATTCATTATATGGATGACATCCGTGCGCGCATGAATTTTCGGCCGTTTACCAAAAAAAAAAAGTTTTCAACCATACTGTAAATCGTACCAAACAGTTGCAAAATGAGCAAAAATATACCGTAAGTTGCAAAAAAATAACAATAATTGAAAATGATACCACTGTCGTAGATTGCCAAAATCAAAGGAAAAAGGACAAAAGTGTCAAGAAATGAATTTGAAGAGTGTCAATGTTCATGACCATGTAGATTTCATAATGAAAGCAACTTTCTTTTGCAAAACTTTTTTTTATTCGCACGCGCGCATCAGTTTTGGGGGTTCTAGAGGATGTCATCCATATAATCAAATCAACATGGCCTTAGAGTTGTGTCAGAATATTAAAGCCATTAAACGAAGGTCAAGCGAAAGGCCCTGGTGTTACGGAATCGTCAACAATATACACGGGAGTCGACACGGCTTGTGCTTGACACCAGAGGTAGGGTAGTGTTTATAACTTGCGGAGAGAGCAGTCAGAAGGTCAACCGTTGGAATGTCGCCCGGAGTCACAGGTCAGCCGTCTGATCAGAGAAACATGGGCGATATCAGGAGCCAAGAATGTCTCGAATGACACCAAAGAAAATTGCACTTGTCAATGTGAGTTTCGGGGAGAGCGCATGGTGCCACCGCGCCCACTATTGGCCCCTACACAATGTAATCCATGGTTTTGATATGAACCAAGGTCGTTAGTGAAAGAAGTCCTTGAGGATAACTGCGCCACCTACCGTGTGACATAGGAATGCCATGCCCACCGTTCCTCTCAAATCTCGGCCCCCTGTTCAGGGGTGCCAGAGTATACAGTGCGATTTTACGGAATACAGTGCAATTTCACGGAATACAGTGCAATTTTACTAGTATACAGTGAAATTTTACGAAATACAGTACAATGGTATTATTATACAGTGCAATTTTACGGAATACAGTGCAATCGTATTAGTATACAGTGCAATTTTACTAGTATGCAGTGCAATTTTACTAGTCACTGTATACTACTCGGTTGGGTTAAGGCGGCCTAGGCTGATACTCATGTTCGAGTTCGGGCGTGTGTCTGCACGATTGCCACAAACATGTTTCGAACCCGAATCATGTTCCACCATGTTCGATATGACGTCATTCGAATAGAACGAGTGTTCGAATTCGGGGTTACCGGCGGTCATTTGTATGTTTCCCCTGTAAACCCGCGTTGTTACGCATTTTATTCACGGAGTATGACTTAAACGGCATTACGCCCAGCTCAAAACTACAGAAATGATCTTTTTTTTTAACCAATTATTACTTATTACCGCTTTCTTATCAAAATTGTCCGAGGCTATTTTGCATATGAGTCGATATTTTTAACTGTGGCGATTTTT